ATATGATGTGGACAAGATATCAATATGGGTGCGACGACGATCGTGTGGGTTCAGATGGAATGAGCCAAAAGAAAACCATACTATGTAAGTTGATGCAATAGGCCATGTTACCCAGCTCCATATGGACGCAAGAGACCATAGTACATAATACTCAATGTGTGAAATTTTTAATTAACAGTAGGTTTGAATAAAGTATATGAATTGATCAGTCATCAGCCCAGCAAAGTTATTTATTTATATGTATGTAAACTACTTATATGAAAACTCATTGGATTCGTTTATGCACAAATGTACATGTTGGTCCTTAGATACATACTTATCCATGTGTGCTTTTCTGAGTTATCCGTGCAGAATAAATACGTAGTTTGAGTCTATATCACTTACCTACACATTGAAATCGGGGATATACATATGTAGTTAGCGGATGTTTGCTCAATTCTCTTGATTCACGTTGTTGCATATGAAATAAACATCTCAATCATTATTTTAATTAAATGAAATTGTCATCATCTGATCAAAATCAATAATTTGTAGATCGTCAATAAATTTATAAAGTAATCCAATTTTTCGTTTTTTTCAGTACAATACGTTGATGAAGAGAACTAATACTTATGTAATTGTACTTATCAAGTTTCCTTCATATATACATACATACCAGTTGTATGATACAACTTAAAATATGAATAAATGTACATTATACATATGTACGTAAAATATGAGCAGTTAAATACATACATGGTTCCATGATCCACACCTTATTTTTTAAGTTAAAAAAGACAAGTATCATAATCATCACTAAACAAGATTTGCATTTATGTTTCTTTAATAGGTTGATTAGCACCGTAATAAAAGAAATTAACACTTTGAAAGGAAAAGGGACGATTTAAGCAACAACATGTTTAAAAACTTCTCAAGGAAAGCAAAAGTAATAAAAATTGTTATGAGGTGCGTATGAAGTCAAATTGAAATTTTATGACGTTTGTTCAGTAAAATTTTGCATAAGTCGTGGAATACGAATCAGGCGTTATTCAATAAGCGATATTTGGCCAAAAGTAATAACAATGACGGATGAGACAATAGCAATAAATTCTCGTGCTATGTCTACGTAGTTAAGAAAATGGGTACGAAGATAATAATTAAATTAATCACTGAAATTTAAATATTTTGACTGGAAATAACTGCGACTTGTTTACAAGAGGGCTTGGTTAGCACATGGTATAAATTTGTGGCAGGAACCTACCAACAAGATAGGCACGACTATTCAAAGAAAGAGGGTTTACAATTTAAAATTTACAATTTAAAATTTTATATGAAATTGTAAATATTTATTTTCACGCACTTGATGAAGCATTTCGTGCAATATTTCTTAGTATGTACATACGATGTGTACATAAATTTTGTTAATCGTCAATCATACTTATTACAATTTCGTTCAATTAATTTTTTAGAAATTGAAAAAAATGAAAATTTTTTAGCTCAAATTCAGTTTTTCAGCTGAAAAGCTGCCTTTCCGCTAGTTTATATACCTAAATACACTTTTTACAAAAAAAATATGTTTCCATTGCTGGCGTGAATACCCCCAAAATATTTATATATGTACATATGTACGTATAATTTCTTCATAACAATATTTATGAATTTATTTACGCGTTAAGGTTCGGGATAGAATTGAGGAGCTCTATTTTCTTTAATTTGATAACCTTACAATGCAAAATTCAAAAATTAATTTCCAAAATTTCCAAATTTGGCCAAATGCAAAATATTTGGCACACAAAAACCCAGCATACGAGCACTAATTTATATTGCTAATACACGACGATATTTATACATATGTATATATGCATATAGATACTTATTAGTTTCAATTTCCAGCATAAATTTGACCCATTTGTGTAACACTGTAAATTGAAAGCACTCCAGTTCGTGTCTCGTCAAAATTAGCACGAGCCATGCACGGGCAAAGGCTCATTAGACGGTAAAAAACCACGATATGATTATTATGCTATTACGCTCGTCCCATCCTTAAAAATTGGCACATTAAACTTTTAAATTGTCCTAATTACCACTAACTGATGATAATTGGCATTGAAATTAAAACTTTGCGGGTGGGTCCGGCCAGCTCGTCATTCCGTTAAGGTCACCCTTTCCACGCGTGAGAGAGAGTTTTTTGGTGTACTAAATTTTCGAAATTTCGAAAATGGAAGAAATTTTCCGACTTGAAAACGACACGGATTGGATTGAAAATGTGACGATACGATTGAAGGAAGATGACGAAGTGGTCGCTTACACGTATGCACCCGGCGATGCGGCGTGGACCTTGGTGTCGACGGCGATGGTGTGGCTGATGGTGCCGGGGTGGGGTTCCTCTACTGCGGAATGGCCAGGAGTAAGAGTGCCCTTTCCTTACTGTCGCTGTGTCTTTGGTCGACGGCGATTGTTTCGGTGCAGGTGAGTTGGGGAATTATGTTCAAATTTGTGTGTGGGAGGTAGTGAAGATTTGAGAAAAATAAGTGATGATTTTGAAAAAGGAATGAATTAGAAGTTGAATGAACAGAAAATGTATAAGAAAGTTTACAAAATGTGGCGACGTACTTAATAAGAAGTTGGTGAGGATTGCTTAATGTATGTAGGAAAGTTAATGGCGATAAAATTGCCAACAGTTTACTCCAGCTTGAAGCTGATGCATTATTTCATGGCAAATTTTATGCGAGCTGACATATGTATTTACATATTTATGTTTTTTTCGAAACCAGGGGAGCTCAGAAAACTTAGGAAGGCAAAGAAATTATTTATTTGTTTGCCAAGCAGTATGCATAAAAACTGTGTGATTTTGTGAAATACATAGGCGAAATTATAAAATCAATCTGCTGCATATACATACATATTTATTTAACAGCACCTGCTTCATGAACTCCTAAACCGAATTTAGCATTTAGCCGTTACCTAAATTTCTGAAGGGTTCTTAAACCTGATTTTCGAAATAAATGGTTAATTTGTTATTGTCACGTTCAAAAGGGTGATAAATTTGTAAAATTCTGGTTTAATTGCAACTTTTACGTATGCAAATCATTTAAATATTTATGCATGTAGCCTTATCATTTTAAAAATTTGGTAACATTATTTCTGCAGTGGTTCCTGTTCGGCTATTCTCTCTCCTTCAGTAACAAGGGAACGAGATAATTGGTCATTTCGACAAAGCCTTCCTCATGGGCGTGGCTGATGCTCCGTCTGAAGCAAACCCTAGAATTCCAGAAATCTTGTTTTGCATTTACCAAGGAATGTTTGCAGCAATTACGCCAGCCCTCGTTATTGGCTCGACGGCGGAAAGGGGTCGATTTCTACCAACAATTCTCTTCATGTTTCTGTGGACAACGTTAGTTTATGACTTCATCTGCTACTGGGTGTGGGGTCCGAATGGGTGGTACTTCGTTCTAGGAGGTGAGTTACATAATCATTTGCATTATCGAAATCAATTAGAATACTTAAATATGCTCAACTTTCATATTTGCTGTTTAATGTATTTTTCGTACTCAAATTTGTTTTTGCAATTTTGAAAATGTTATCAAAATTCTAGCGAAATTAGTGATTTTCAAAATTTGCAGTTACTTATTCTTTCAATGCATATATATACATAAACAACTTGTATTAACATGTTAGCGAAATTTCCAATTTTAGTTTTAACCGAGATATTAGGCGTATTCACGTCAACGTCTTTGTTTCGCATTGCAACTCTGAACTCACGTGGTAAATTTTTGAGTAAATTATCCATTGCATTTTAGGCCTCGACTTCGCCGGCGGCCTTCCCGTTCACCTCGCATCGGGCGTGAGTGCGGCGGTGTACGCGTGGCTTTTGGAGGAGCGAGAAGATCATATTAAGGACGCCAAGCCACACAACATCGTCCAAGTCATCTTGGGAACGTCGCTTATCTGGTTTGGATACTTTGGATTTAACGGCGGCTCAGCGATGGGGGCAAATACTCGGGCCGCGATTGTTGTCTGCAACACAAATATTTCCGCTTGTGTGGGTGCAGTCACGTGGGCGCTGATGGATTACGCGAGGGATAAGAAGTTTTCTTCTTTGAGCTTCTGTTTCGGGGCGATCAGTGGACTTGTAAGTTTTTGAAAACTTACAAGCTTTAATTGAGTTTCATAATTCGAAGTTAATGAATTTTACAAATTTTGTATGCCATATTTTAAAGAAATTTTGAAACTGGTATCTAGTCGATAAAGTGAAAATTTATTTTACTGTTGGTTCAACAACTTAAGAAAAAATATGATAGGTTATCTGGCAGAATTTTCTTACATGGCACACGACAAAAATTTAAATTCAGAAAAACTTACACAAGTACCTTTTTGTCTCTATTTTTTGAAGAACAGTAATTTCTCTGGTACTCAGAATTAATTGCCCAAAATTTTGGAAATTTGTTTAAAAATGAAAATTTAGCAATTTAATTATCTGATTACTTTGCAAATTTTTAAGCTTCTCATACGTAAATGTTGTATTAGAATTTTCCAATCATATGTACATTTCCGAAAACAAATTTTTCAAACATCAAATTATTTATCTTGCAGGTGACAGTAACTCCAGCCTCCGGTTTTATCCTACCCGCTGCTTCACTCGCATTCGGATTTCTTGGCGCTGTCGGATGTCGTGCCGCCGTTCAGTTAAAGAAACTCGTCTCTGTTGACGATGCCCTCGATGTTCTTGCAATTCACGGCGTGGGCGGCGGTCTGGGGACCATTCTGTGCGGAATATTTGCACAAAACGATATCACCGGTTTGGACGGGATGAGTGCTATTCCAGGCGGGTGGTTGGATGGGATTGAAGCCCGCTGGATTCAAATCGTTTACCAGTTAGCTGGTTGTGGTGCTGCGACCGTGTGGTCCGTCTTTGTCACTTTTGCGATTTTGTTCGTGATGAATAAAATTCCGGGGTTGAAACTTCGCGTTAATTCGCACACGGCCGGCGCAGGGATTGATAGTATGCAGATGGGTGAAAAGGCGTATGAATATGACCCAGTCCCCACGCATGCGCCAGAACATTCTGGCGCGAGGAGGGGCAGCATTGCGGCAGCGCTGCATCACATCAAAAGGATGACGGTGAACGATTAAATTTACAATGATGCAATTGTAATACGTGATTTCGTATTGTAGTAATTTCTTTTGGAATTATTAATTGATGTATAAAGATGGAATAAATAAATATTCGAAAATGACATTTTTTGTGTGGCTAACCATCTGTAAGTTGTTGAATTAAGATTAATTTCCATGCAGTTTTAATTTTTCCTGATCTAATTCACCGATGAAGGTTACAGTTTACAATTGAAATGTTGGACAAATAAATTTGCGTAATGTCGTCCATGTATCCGTTGGAGGATAAAAGTGCATTAATTTGGATGTTAGTCGGGAGGGAATTAAATATAAAGATATGGTGTAAGAAATCCTTATTTGATATGTAATTATTTGTTACTACACATATGTAGGTACTTACATAAGAACCTACATATGTAAACATTTCCGCATTATTTAAATGCTTAATACCCGTTATTAACGAAAACTCAACTATCCCGGTATGTAAAAGGTAGTAAAAGCTTATCAATAAAATTAACGTAAATACGTAAGATTTTCTTCTTTAAAAATTCCAATGGTGTGAGACGAAATATTTTTACTCGGATAAATTTGACCACAAAAAATCTAGAGTATTACATGTAAAAATATAAATTTTATGAAAGTACTCTTTCGCACATATTTATTTCGTAAATATTTCAAAGATTTTTTGTAAAATATTTTTCGTAAATAGGTTCCGGTTACCATACCATAGTGAGCGGCGGCTATTAATCTCCTTTGATGTGAGTGAAAATTAATAAACTTGAATGAAAGAAATTCTCATCCTTTCGTTTTTAATCTGATGCACCATGAAATTAGAAATGAAGTGAATATGAAAGAATACGACTGAAAATATGTTCATTTACATCAGAATGATTAACTTTTAATGAAATTTCTTTAGAACAGGTACACTCTTAGAAATCCAGTATTAAAATAATACCAGGCGGTATTCATATATGACTCTACCAACGTGGTATTGATAAATAATACCGTGTGGTAATAACCCGGTATTAAAGTTTTACAATATCGGTATCAAATTTTTACTCACCGGTATAATTTTAATACCAAGCGGTAGCAACTTTAATCCCGAGAAATCAATACCTGCGTGACTATACCGGATTTCTAACAGTGTATGCATGACTTGCGTTATCCTTGACTCTCTTTTCCGAAAAATCTGTAAAAATCTGTAGAAATACTACAGATTTTAAGGATACCTCTAGTTGAGATAAGAAACATACAATGTGTGTATATGCTGTACATATGTACAATGACAATTTATTTTTTAAGGATTTCTTACATTAAGTTCTTTCATGGAGTTCAAGGATGACATTTTTTAACGTAACGTTTAAAAAAATTAACATTATTTTAATTTTAGTAATTTTCAGTAAATTTTAGTTATTTTTATTTGAAGTGTTCCTAAAATTTGATGTAACCCATTGTTTTGTCAGTTGTGTTGGGAGGTGTTTCTGCGTTTTCAACATTGGAGAATAGGTTCCCAATGGATGAATTTCTGTTTGTTGCTGAGCCACAAAGTTGCTGCTTCTGTTGTAGCAATGTTACTTTAATTTGACATATGTATATACATATTTATACATACCTACATAATAATAAATAAGCAATTACCCAAAATTTATTGGTTCCTCAGGTGTTCAATCTGAGGAGTTCGGGTCCTCATTATCTGTAACTAGCTTTGACAAAAGTTGTGCCCTTGGAGTCGACGAAAACCTACCCTGTGGGATTGCACCCCTATTGGAAAATATACTGGTGATAATCTAACTTTTGTCGCCTGTTGAGGATCATGTCAGGTTTAGCATGTTAAGAAATATTTAAACGGACAGATTATGCAATTAGGGGTCAAACGATGAATTTGCCATCTTGTGACTACAATGATAACTAAAGTCCTAAGTATGGACATACTTATAAATGTAACAGTGATCCGATCGATCAAATCCGGCTCTGGATTCGTTCGTAACACGGTGTATATATATATATCTAATACCTTTGTTCTGGAGGAACAAGAAAGCAAATAAGTAGAGCCATGGACTCCTCCATGTCCAAAATGTTCTTCGTCGCGACATGAAGTGCAAACTTGGCAGAATCCATTAATGGAAATCTGACATGTTGCAGTGGCTTTTTAAGGATTTTTCTCAGTTCTTTAGTATCCGTAGGGTCCAGTTTTTGTCGAGTACATTCCTCCGATCCCCAACTGTACTTAAATTTCAACTTATTACGGTACAAACTTGGAAATACAAAGGCAGAATTTTATAAATATGTAAATGTGCATAAACCCTACCGATACACCGCGTCAAAAACTTCCATCTCGTCCTAGACACGAAGGCGATCTTGCTGAATTATTTCTACCAAACATTCCAGTCGCAAATGTGCAAATTCATCCCGTATTAAGATACTTGCAGCATTTCTGAAATTAAATTTGAAACCAGTTGAGCCTCGTTTATAAAATCACTCCATTTATTTAACTATGAGAGTTAGACGTTTTATGAGGGTTACCTAATTTCTTACATTAACTTAAATAATTGTGGACTTACTCGCATATGTAGTCAAGGATGTCTTGATCAAATTCTTATGTGCGTAATCCATCGCTCCGTGAAATAGAGAGAGAGCATTTTCATCGGTTATTTTACCCTTTAACGCGGATTCGCATTGGACCACGAGTCCCGGGATGGCATACTCAGACGCTGTCTTCAACAAGGGGAGGGCATCATTCATGTTAACATCAGATTTTCCAGTGTACAGGTACTTAAGAAATAAAACAATATATTGACGTTGTGTGCGAGTTAATTATTTACCAAATTCAATACTTATTGGAGGTATTCACGTCAACTTCGTAAGAGCGGTAAATGTCGCTTCGTAATTCGCAGTATGTTTCTGAAATGTTAAGATATTTTCAAAGCGTTGCGATACGACGATCAATCAGAATCCTTTAATTTTTTTACAAAATGTGCGACACAAAAAGGCATCTAAATATTATCGTCGTCAGTCACTATTCGTAAAATCGTTGTCTGGTGAATTTTTATTTCTCATTTTCAGTTTACGTACTACTAAAATAAATCCTTCATTACTGTTGGTTCTGCTGACTGCTGAGTGAATTGGAATCCATAGCCGATTTCTATTAGACGAATTAGCCGAACCGCATAATTATTTTTAATACCAGTTTATTTTATTTGACGTGAAAATCAATCAATTTTCTAAATTCCAGACACAAAATGGAATGATTGTTTACGCCAAAATAAATAAACTTGTATTAAATAATTTAGAACACCTTATGCGGGTCGGATCATGTAAATCAGTGATGGATTCCACCTCTCTCAGCAGAATCAACATTAAACATTACACTATCTGTACACCGATTTCACCGCAAAGTTACGAAGATGTCGCGCAACACATAATTAAACAGCCATTAATTTTCTATGATAATTTCTTATGTTACATTGATCATCATCTTGAATATGTTTGGGTCCTCGTCATCAATCTGTAATCGGCCGGTCGTCTCCACGGCGGCGGTAATTTTCTTATCAAACATCGGAGATCCAGCCCGAAGGACTAATGTGCGGAGACGTAACTTAACGATAGAAAATACGAATATTCCCAAATAAAGGACAGAATTAAATATGTATTACATATGCTAATGAGTAAATTTCTAACCTCTTCTTTATTGCCAAAAATGACGACCAAGTCGCTCCATAAACCTGTCTCGAGAAGTTTACCCATTCTATTTTTTAGTGGACCATCCCAATCCCAGTTTTTATTTTTCTTGGGTACAGCCATATCCTTAATTTAAAATTAATGGTAAGGAGACACGAGTTATTGAAAAAATACGAGACCTTAAAATAAGCAATGAATATTTTATGTATAATTTATTTATACAGGATAAATGCACTCTGGTTGTTTCGAGAGTTTAGTTTGGATGTCGTACTTGTAAAAAAAGTTTGCTTTGATGAGCTAATAAGCACGGGAGTACAAAAAGTTGCAGTTATCTGTGCCTGATCATGATTATGATAACGGGTCTGACCTGACCACAGCTATGTATGTATTAGCCCAGGCTGTCCAATCCATTTGCGCACTCTTAGAAATTCAGGGGTACCATAATACCAAGTGGTATTCATTTACGACTTCACCAAAGCGGTATTGACACCATGTAGCAATAGTTCCGCATTGATGATTTACCACACCGGTCACCGGTAGCAATTTTCTACGGGACGATAGCAACTTTAATACCGAAATAGTATAAAAGATTTCTAAGAGTGTGTGCCTGGATATTCCAGGCTGGAATACATTCATTGTATACATAAAGCGTCTGTCAAATATGCCAGACTACATAATCTATCAAGCGGTGCATACCTGTCTGCACAAGTAATTAAATCTTTGGGATGATTCAAAAACAAGGTGACTCAATTTATTTGACCTCAATTGACAATGATTTATTAGACAATTACAAAATTTTAAGGTTGACTTAAACCACCCCATTGTTGTGAAATTTCGTCCGCTGCTTTCTCCGCTACGAGAATAACTGGACCGTTGATGTTAGCGTTTGGCGTGTATGGCAGGACCGACGCATCCACGACGCGAAGGCCGGGGACGCCCATTACTCTGAAAAAAACATCTCATTTTTAGTAAAGTTCACTAATCTTATCAAGTTTTTCAACAAATTAATTACTTATATATTTACCTTAACTTTGAATCTGTCACTGCACCCATGGAACATGTTCCGACGGAATGGATCGCAGTGGTCGCGACCTGTTGCACGTGGCACGCCCAATACTCCCTGGATCGGAAGGGGAGGTGAGTGCATCCATTAATCGCCGTTCCCGCAAATGTCGTTCCAAGCGACTGGAAGGCAGAGGTTTCTTCCATTATACGAAATACGAGGTCAATTCCTTAACAGGGTAAATTTTTTGATAGACATGAGTCATAAAAATTGAGAGATTGACAGTACATATTTTGGGTGCAAGTAACCACATGCAAGATATAATCATGTACACGAAAGTTATTTTTTCCAGCTGTTTTGATTATGAAAAAATGGCGCATATTTCTTGCACTTTTTTGCAGTTTCTTGTACCCTGCATTTCTCGCTTTACAGTGTAAGAAATGTAGCTAAGAAACGAAACACTGCATATGTATGACAATTTTTTGTGCGCACTAACCATCTAACGCAACGTCCAAATCACTCGCAACGTCAAACGCCTTAAAATCGATCAACACCAGCTTTGTAACATCTCTAACACCGTCCAGATAAGCCGTCGTATTAAGAGACACACTTCCCCTCGACTTCATCCTGTCCAATTCCATATGATAACAGGCCGTCCAGCTGTCTACGTCATCAGAAAAGCTGAGAGGGCACATGGTCGTCAGCGTGATCCGGACATCCGACCAAGCCGGCTCGCCCTCCACGATGGCGCGTGACGATGCGTGAAAGGCCTGCGGACCGGCCTCGACTTGACCTAGGACGCCTTCCCCAGTTTCGAGATACGTTGTGAACGCAGCTTCTAGATCTTCTTCCAAGATCCGCGGGATATATGGAGACGCGGAAGCGTTGAATTTAAAAGATTGGATCATGAACCAAATGTGATCGTTGAGATTTTGTCCGACGGCGGGTATGTTTACTTTGACCGGGATCTAGAGGGGCGAAGTGATACATATAAATTACTTAGCGGGAAATTCAAGAATTATTTAAGATGCAACAATGCATGTATTTACTTCGGCTTGCTCAAGAACTTCGCGAGGCCCGACTCCGGATAGCATTAACAGGAGGGGAGAATTCATAGCCCCCGCCGATAAGATGACTTCATTAGATGCGTGGGCTATTTGCGGGATTCCGTGGCGGGTATATGCTACCCCATAGGCGCGATTGTTTTGGTCGAGAAGAATCTAAGAAGTTTGAAATTATTTAAGAAAATCGGTACGCGGACCAGACATGGCAATCTTTACATGGCAATCTTTACATTGCAATTTATACATGGCGGCGACTTACATGGTTTATCAGTACATAGCTTTATCACTACATAGCATGATCACTACAAAACATATCCTTGCATAGCTTTATCATTACATAGCATGACAGCTACATAGCATCTTCCTTACACATGTTTTCACTGGTCCACAAGAATTGTATTGTGACAAAACCAATCCATGAGTCAAACTATATATATTATTCCGTGCCAAAAAAAAGTATTAAAGTTTTTAAAAACTATCTCAATAATGGCAACTAACATCGAAGTATTAGCATCGAGAAGAGGAAGGCCATTGCTTACGTTTAATGGAAACATTTTCCAGTTTGAAAGAGATGGTTTAGAAAAAAAGACTTGGAGATGCGATCAGTTTCAAAAGTGCAAGTGCCGGTGCAGATTACACACAAGTGATAATTTACGTAACCCAGAGCTTTTACGGCAAGTCGGGTCACATAATCATGAGCCAAAACCTATTGCTTGTGATGTGAAAAAAGTCATGACCAAGATTCGACAAGCAGCCAGCAGTTCCTCCATTGCTCCAGCACAACTAATTGCCAACGAAATTAGACAAATGCCAGCTGCAAGTCAAGGTCACATGCCCCCGGCACATAATATAAAACGAGGTATACGAAAGGTCAGAGGCGTGACCACTGGGTCACTTATCGTTCCTTCCAAAAGGGAGGATATCAAGTTGCCTGACTCCTTTAAAATAACTTCAAACAACGAGAATTTCCTGGCATTTGATAGTGGGTCACATGCGGATCGAATAATGATCTTCTCGACTGCCCGTAACCATGAATTTTTATCTCAGTGCAATGTTTGGCTTGTCGACGGAACTTTTAAAGTGAGGGTCATTTTTTGTTACGTTATATTGACAAACATTTAATTGGAATTCTCGTTTTACAGTCTTCGCCCGTTCTTTTTGACCAACTTTTCATACTACACGGGATGCGTAAAGAAGCACATTTCCTCTTATCTATTGCTTGACTCCCAATCGAACATCCGGCACATATATTCTTCTTCTTTCGGAAATCAAGAAACTTCAACCTAATTTGGACCCAACAACAATACTGAGTGACTATGAGAAAGCCTCAATAAGGGCAATGGAGGACATCTTTCCACAAGCAGAGAAAAATGGTTGCTTTTTCCATTATTCGCAGTGCATATTTCGTAATATCCAAAAACACCCGGATATACACAATTTGTACAGCAATGACTCGAACTTCTCATTTATGATGAAACACTTAAGGAGCTTAGCATTTGTTCCCCCTGACGATGTGGTTATGTCGTTTGACCTTCTCATGGAAGATGAATTCTTCACAACGAATGAAATCATGTTGGCCGAGTTCATTAACTACTTTGAGCGCACTTGGATCGGGCAATGGAACCGTGGCAGGAATGTTTGGTTGGAGCCTATATTCTCTATAAAATTGTGGAACTGCTTTCACGCAGTTTTACAAGGTCTTCCTAAGACAACAAATGCGTGCGAGGGATTTCATCATGGCTTCGCTACCCTTTTAGGTGCATCCCATCCAACTATTTTCAAACTTATACAAGGGCTCAAGGATCAACAAACATTGACCGAACTTAAAATGAATCAATTTTTAGCCGGAACCGAGGCCACTCCGGGGAATAAATATAAATTGCTAGCTCTAAAATTACAAGAAACGGTTGAAAAGTATGGATTAGATGACTTTTCACATATGGAGTACTTACGAAAAATAGCGTACTGTCTTTAAGAATCTTAATTGACAATGACCTAAAAAGTTAATTTTACTGTTATTTTTATTTTTGATTGGATTTTGACTTGGCTATATACGTGCACAATTTTTGCTGACTAATTTTAAAGGAATATGCTATGCAAAGATAAAGCTATGTAATGATAATGCTATGTAATGATGTGCGATGTAATAATAAAGCCATGTAGTGATAATGCTATGTAATGATAACGTGTTGTAAGGATTGCAATGTAAAAATTGCAATGCAATGATTGCCATGTAGCGATTGCCATGTCTGGTCCGCAAATCAAGAAAATCAAGTCGGAATTTCTCGCCTTTCACTCCAAAGTTTTACCTGTTCCACATTTGCATATCGAATAACCGTAAGATTCGCCCTGATTTCTTCGTAAGGTTTAATATATCCGGTATAAGTGCTGACACGAGCACCTGAACCGATAAGCATTTGAACCGGAGCAAAACCTGTGTATAAAATATAACACACGTATGTACACATGTATCGCTTATCAATCCCTTATCACATATTTGTTATTCAGCCCAAACTTGGTATTTGTTGTGCATTGGGGTCTGCAACTGTAAACCCTAGCTCAGCCGCTGCCTCGGCCCACTTGGACCAAATGGGTGGTATGTCCGAGTTCAAGGTCAAGGGACCACCCACTCCGTAATAATCTGCATATATCCAAACAAATTAGTGCAATTGGTTCAAAAAGATCTCAAGCGTCTCAACTTGCCTCCTTGCTCCGGATTGATGAGCTGTCCCACAAAATCTTCACTTTTCTTCCAGAATTCTAGCACATTTTCATACCTCCACGTGGCGTCTCCCGTCATGGCGGCGTAGCCATCCCAGTCGAGAGGTGATCCCCTTTGATGTATCATCTCATTATGCGATCCCGATCCTCCCAGCATTTTTCCAGTTTCAAAGGCGGAAATCTTTAAAAAATAAATTTCCGAAATTTGCTTTATTTTTTGAAATATTGGGGCAATTCAAATAGTCATAGGTAACTTGTAAAATCTGTAAGTTTTGTCAAATAATTTTACGAACTTTTACAAAATAAAAAGATGCTCTGGATCTAAATAAGGAAGTTTACAAAAATTTCTACGCTAATTTTCCTCAGAAATATTTGTAAAATTTTATAAAAGTTTGTCAGCTTACAGAGTTTTCAATGTCTGAATGAATTGTCTATTAAATTTTTTATAATCGTCTCTACATACGCCGCCATTTCTAAGGGACATATTCCTTTGGGTGACTGACTCATAGAAATAATTGATATCGGGAGCAACCGCGACATCCCGGGTGAAGTACGACACGTGCGCGGGGGGAATAGGTGTCCCCCCGGCTTCCAAAAGAAGAACGTTGAAACGTTCAGAGAGCCGGCCGGCAACGACACAACCCGCGGTTCCACCTCCAACTGGATTTTGAGATTTTACATACTTTTTTAAAGGTTTAGTTAATATTTCTGAATTTTAAAATGTTATTTTTTGTACTTACCAATGATAAAGTCGTAACTTTTAATTCGTGGGATTCCATAGTCGTTTTCTAAATCTTGTAACGCTATGGTCTTATCATCTTCCATATACTTTTTAGCATAGTACTGAATTATTAATGGGATCGCACCGAATACGAAGGAGGATAATTTCATTTTTTATTATGTATGAGCAAATTTATGGATGTACATATACGAGTAAATATGCTTCTGGACAAGTGTTGTGTTAAAATTTGAGACGGTGCAAAAAGATACGGTTTATTTTATAGTTACCATGACAACACCAACAACATAATCAATCACGTTGTCAAACACCTTTTAAACAAATCCGGTGAGATAATAATGATCCACGATAAGAAAGCAGGTACATGTGCACGTTGAGTATTTAGAGTTGACAGACTAATGGGATGGGTCACTTGTAAATTAGCAATTGCAATGTTCAATTTAATACACTCTAACTAAAGTTGTGTAAAATTTAGTTAAGGTTGAGTTAAATAAATAGAGGAGGACATTACAATTGGGTAAATTTTTGCACAATGTTGCATAAAGTTTATATAACTTTATTTAGCGTGTACCTACATGTATCATTCATCACTTTTATCAAATTCGTGATTAACTATGATTCTTGAATGCATTTCTGAGTGTTTGTACAAAAGGCAATGCAAGTGTGAAAGAGCAGGTTTGGTCAACTTCATTAATGCCAAACCCCTTAATTAGTATGCCACTCACCTCCATCATCTCTTACAAACAAGAGACAATGTTGCAAACCAGCTTCGTCACAACCTCATCTGAGATATCTCTATTCAGCGTGGCCAACCGGTTCATAATCGGTCAACACATAGGTATCAATTAGGTATTGCTAGGATATATAAGCGAAAGCGCAGCCACCAGGCGGGGGAACGGTGGAGGACGGTAGAGGAAGTATTTTGTGCTACTGCAGGTTACCTCTCCCAATATTATTGGGAGAGGCAGAGTTCTGCCTGTTTGTACAAGTAATAAATAAAACCTCTCTAAGAAAGTGCAACCAAGTCTCATCTCGCCTCCCAATTATTACGCACACACCACAACGACGACGACGATCGTCTCATCTTCCTCATCACCACCATCACTGCAGTCAACCCCCCATAAACGGAACTTCACATTGGTACCCACGGCGGCCTCTCCTTGTCAGAAGGAGAGAAGGACGCCGCACCCCCTCACTCAACTGGCCCCATCTTCACGACTGCAGTGTGACGAAGTGTCACAACGACAAAAACGCCCCATTCCGTCTCTACCCCCCATCTTCACGACGTCGGTGTGACAGACTGCCACCAAGGTAAAAAAAAAATTTCCATGACTTTCTAACCACCCCCCCCCCACACTCTCCCCCCTTCACCATTTTACACGATCCACCATTGGTCGGTACTCCGTCAATATTTTACAGAAAAAAAATATTTTGAGTTCCCACCACCGACCATACGTCCACAATTCCCTAGAATCACGTACCTGTCAGAACTAAAAAGGACGGGGAGAAGTTTGGGGAACACTTCTTGCCCATAGGGGCCCCTACATTTCAAGTACACATAGAAGACTGTATGAATTTATTTCCCTTGACTGCGGAGACAGCAAGGACGAGGTCGTTTTTCAGTCCTTTTTGCACCTAGTAGGCCACAGTAGCCATTTTTTCTCGCCATTAAGCGTATTTTTCTAATTATCGGTTCACGCTCCGAGGGGCGCCGATATATTTTGAAAATCATTTACCCTGTGACAGTAAGTCGTACGCACCCCGTTGTTCTCTCCAGCCGTTAGGGCATCCTCCGTTTCATTTAGCGTGTTGGTAGTTATAGCTCTTTTTTCCCATACCTGACACACAGCACTTTGTAATAAGAGAGAGCGGCAGCTCGTTCAACTCGACCGCATTGAGGATAATTTCATTTCTCGACATCGATATTACACATCCCAAACCACTAACCCCACATCGGCCTCCCCGAATCCTCGTTCTCCTCCTACTTACCGGTTACCTATAACCACATACGATCCACATTTTCATCCGGCACGCCCACTAGACCAATATTTTTCGGCGGACGAGTCGGCCTTACATCTGAATTAACCCCAGCATCATCTCACACTCTTGGTCCTCATAATTTTGGTGCCACGTCGATTGGCCAATCTCTCCCATCAGCGAGGAACTTTCCAATTTCAACATCTCGACCCCAAATCGAGGTTGTTCCGCATACTTTTGGTGCCACGTCACTTGGCAAATCTCTCCAACCTGCCACCCCCTTTTTAATTTCAACATCTCCACCTAAAAACGAGGTTGTTGCTCCTCACCACGATATCATTTTGAGTCCAAGACGTTCACCCCAACCAGAAACTGCTTCTCCTTCATCACCTCTCTCTTCTGACCCCGATAGCTAAAATCCAGTTTCGAGTGCAAATCAACTACCTGCAGCATCCATCCCTGCGACTTTTTATCTCAAAACTAGTATCTTGCCTCCCGCTACTTTCTATCCTCAACCAAACGCCAGCCCCCAACGTCTTCCATCAACCACCACACTCCACTCCAAACCGCATCTCAAACATCGTAGTCTACGAAACCTCCTGCACAACGACTCCGTGCCCATCAACCCCTCAATACTTATTTGTACCACAACATCTTTTACTCCACCTCCCAGCAGTGGTTGAGCCCCTGCCCAAAACAACCTTCCGCTCCTCAACCACCACCATTTTTTCCTTTCATTATTGCATCACCCACTCTTTTCCAAATGGGGACAACTATCAACGACATCACCATCTCTCCAGGATGTTCACCCCCGACAGACACTAACTCTCCTCTTTCTTTCCCACAAGTCTGTCCTAATACGGAGTTGGAACCTTTACCAACCCCCGCGGCACCTCTCCCTGCTAACATTTTTGTGCCACCTCACATTCTACCTTCCTTCCAACCTGTACCTCCACACCATACCAACGCATTCTATCGACCACCTTTCCCTCCCTCGCATATCTCGACCATTGATGGCGACTTCTGCGCCGGCCCACCACACATCTCTAACATCGACAATTTGACGGGGTGGCCCACACCCGCTACATCTTCTTCCTACGATGCATTTTTCGCCCACCTCATTCAAACCTTAAGGTTTACTTCCATTCAAGACTGTAATGCACACCCCCATTCGTCAATCCCCGATCGACCAACGACCCGCACTTCGTCTCTCTCTTAGCCCAACAACTTCCTTCCCAATTACAACAAGGGATTGGTACATCCGACATGAGGCCTCATGTAGTCTCTGCAGGTTCAGATTCTATTCATATGTTAGATGCACCTCGCCCTCGCTCCTCGGGTCAGCACATAACCTTCCCAGATTCCCCACCGACGGGTGGTTTTAGACACAATAACTACCAACAGCGAACCTCCCAGGGTAACCGTAACCAGAGGGGTAGATCTTCGTATTCCATCAACCGTGGTGGCGGTTTCTCTACCCGCCAGAATGTACATAGCCAATTCCACATCACAGCACCTTCGAATCACTGGCAATCCAGGAATACAGAATTCCGAGGCACACATCACATACAGGATGGTGACGGCCGTAATTTTGGTGGAGGTGGGAGAGTCCATTCTCGACGACGCTACAAACCCAATACTAACCGACCTCGTAGTGATAATCACTCGTTGTATTCTCCCCCTAACGCACACCCCCGCCAATCACGTTCTAACTTATTGCCTATACACACTAACTACACTCCAAATCGCTCCTCCTCACATATCCCAAATACCTGGCGACCAGATCTATTAACTCGACCTAATCAACCTACCAACCTCTCCCGACCACTTTCCAATTCTAACCCTCTACCTTCTTCACCCAGCCAACGCCTCGCCCCCCACACCGCCGGTGGCAACATTCCTTTTCCTTCATGCCCCGATTGCGTCGCCTCACGACACACGAATTTCTCTATCCCACATACTTTTAAACCAGGCAGAGTTTGACCAACCTCTGCCCCTCGGCAACGTTCTCAATTAGATCACCATATTACACTAGCTGTATTACTTATATACGTATCACGGCGAACCCAGGATGGTCCCCTTGACTATCCCCGTAATACAATAGTAATAAATAGTAATACTTACCGGTCACCCAGATAGCTGTATTAATTATATACGTATCACGTATATACGTATACACGTATATACGTATCACGGCGAACCTAGGATGGTCCCCTTGACTATACCCATTAATACAATAGTAATAAATAGTAATACTTACCCAGATATATATATATACGCATTATAAAACCCACCCATAGGATTTACAAAAACAAAAATCCACAAGAGAATTCTTTCTCCTGTGTATTTTTTTGCACTTTACCATAGGTGATTTTCGATATCTAGGATTACGTAGACATCCCACATTCTTTTGTACCACATAACTATTACTTAGAAGCGAAAACCGGATAGTCTACCATATTATACAGCGGTCGCTCTATGGTCCCCACAACCATTCGCCGCATTAAATATATAAGAGAACTAACGACGCGATAATCATAAATCCACAGGAGAGTTCCTTCTCCTGTGCATTTACGTTGCATATAGACTTCCATGGGCATCTCCCCTAATGAGTACCCTCACTCCCCTACCTTAAGATTTAACACTAGTAAACTCCTCCTGGTCACCTTCGTCTGCACATTTTTCCAGTATTAGGCAACCTTCGATGTGTCATTCAACCAGTAGCGAATTGTCCGCTCAATTACATTAGTTTTCTTTCTTAATTCGCTACTACGTACCTCCCCGTCTGTTCACGAACCACGTACGCGACTCAGCAATACGTTTAGTATAACGGTATCTTCTACTCTACCTCTATATACTCAATCGCTACAACACTTTGTCCAATCTCACTATACCTCACCTCACCGGTTGACTCAACACTTTACTCGCCCCCGATGTTATTCTCAATCCATATACCTTTTGGACCAACTGGACCACAATATTACTCTCCTCGCTTCAGGGCTCATCGCCCATGCTGTTCAAACAATTAGCCGTCTCACTTACAACGATCCGACCCACCGACCACAATCTAGTTCCAACCCACCTTCTACCTTTTATCGCACACCTGAACCTCACCAAGCCTGTTCTCCGCATCGACAGGACGGCTCGGCCAATCTCATTTTACTCGTTTACTGTCTATTTTCTCATTTTTGTAAGGTTATACGGCAGAAATTTCTTGACTTATTTTCTGTGTTAAACTTGGACCTGGTGAACAAGCATAAATTTTTTGTAATGTCACATCCTGATGAGAAGATAAGCTATTCAAACTCCTA